TTTTTGAGGAGTCTCGCTCTGTTGCTCAGGCTGGAGTGCAGTGGTGCGATCTCAGCTCACTGCAACCTCTGCCTCCCGAGTTCAAGCAATTCTACCCTAGCCTCCTGAGTAGCTGGGACTACAGGTGCACACCACCATGCCCGGCTAATTTTTGTGTTTTTAGTAGAGACGGGGTTTCACCGTGTTGGCCAGGCTGGTCTTGAACCGCTGAACTCAGGTGATCCACCACCTTGGCCTCCCAAAGTGCTGGGATTACAGGCATAAGCCACTGCACCTGATCTAGAATATATGTCTTTTAGGTAGATACATGCCACAATGGAAATGTAGAAAAATTCTGCTCTGGAAGTTTTAGAGCAGTCAGGTGGTAGTAGGACTGGCTGAGACTCTATCTTGTTGTTGGAATGTGTGGCTTGAAGCCAAATAAAATAAAGAAGTGGAAGTTGCAGTAGGTGAAAGACATTGTCCTGTCTGACAAGTAGAAGACATAGTCACTATAGCAAGGAACACTGGAGTACATGAGTTAGAGAAAAGAAACTGCAAAGGAAAGTGAACAAACATTTCGTAGTTGTTTAGTGTCGAATATATGCTAGGAAGGCACTTTCTATAGTTTCTTTACTTCATGAGGTTTCCTTTTTTTTTTTCTTTTTTGACACGGAGTCTCACTCTGTCTACCAGGCTGGAGTGCGATGGCGTGATCTTGCCATTGCAACCTCCCCCTCCTGGATTCTAGTGATTCTCCTGCCTCAACCTCCCAAGTAGCTGGGATTACTGGCGCCCACCATCACGTCCAGCTGATTTTTGTATTTTTAGTAGATACGAGGTTTCACCATCTTGGTCAGGGTGGTCTCAAACTCCTCACCTCAGGTGATCTACCCGCCTCAGCCTCCCAGTGCTGGGATTACAGGCACGGGCCACCACACCTGGCACTTCATGAGGTTTCTAAGTCGCATCTACCTTTGCGTAGACAAATGTCATGCATGGTACCATCTGAACCAAACTCATTGAATCTTCCACTTTGCTTTTGACTTTGATCCTTGGCGAAGTCCATTATTGCAATTATCAATTATAGTTAATTTATCCTTTCGTATTAGAAATAGTTTATTTTTTGCTTTTGTTGACATTGCCGATTTTTAGTA